GTGGCCTGACACTCGAGTGTGTTTGACTCTATGGCGTGTTGCTTATGTGTTTGCAGAATTGTGCGTGTGTGCCTAGCCGGGAACTCCTTACTTTTGCTATTGGAAGAGATTCGTAAGTTGGTCTCGCCGGAATCTGTAGCGGGATTACCTGGGAGCTATGATTCTAGATTTGTGTGAATAGGTCCTTGGCGCACCGCCCTGCGACCCCGATGAATCCTTGTTGACATTTCGTCCGTCATGTGACGGACATCTTCAAAGCAGGACACCGTGCTTAACAATAATTCACCAAAACACGAAGACAAAAAAGGTGGCCGCCTTCAAACCTATCTACTTCCTATAGTCCATCTCATGCTTTAGTTGAATATCCTATGCTTTGCCTAAATATTTGCACAAAAGATGCCTTCATGTTTTTCGCGAATTATCGTTGAGCCTGGTGTCCTGCTCTGACGGAGCAAAAGCTTTGCAAGGATTCATCGAAGTCGAAGGACGGTGCGCCGAGGATTTATTCACACAAATCTAGGATCACAGCTCCTAGGCAATCCCTCTACAGTTTCCGATGAGATTAACTTACGAATCCCTTCCACTCGCCTCTTCAGACGAAATGAAAGGTACTCCAACATCCACATATAAATCGAAACCCAGTTTTTCTACATACTCCTTAAACTTGACTGTGGCTGTGTGCAAAGAGGTCCTCGGCGCACTGTCAGGCATCTCATAAGTTGATTGGTTAGTTCATGTTTTACCTACCTTTAATGGAGTTTTCATAAAGTATTATTTAGACTAATGACGATGTCTGTCACAGAGGCACGGATGGATTAGGACTGCTTCACACAAATCCACACCTCAAACTATCAATTTATTAATCACTTTCACCCGCCTAATCAAATGATATAATTGGTACAAAAACTTGATTTTTAAGGGACTCTTCGAAATCCAGCTTACCTCCATGGCCTTATTTGTGTTCGTGTTTGCGTGTGTATTTGTGCGAGTGTGTGTGCAGTTGAGTCTGTGTGGAAATGTGAATTGTCCTGCTTCAGACCTGGCGACTTAATTAGCAGATTGAACGAGTTGGCAACGCCGACTGGCAGTCATATGAGCCTAGGCGTATGTGAATGTTTGCAGTTGTGTGCGTCGATGCGTGTCCGAAAGTCTCACGTGCCCAAAGCCCTGAGTTCCGAGACCTGGCCCGGCTGCCCTCGTAGAAGCAGTCAAGCGTCTGCTGGGACAAGCGTGGCCGGCTCGTGGCGTTCGGTCCATCAGCGAAATGTACGCGCAGGTGTCCAACTGTCTGTGAGGAAAACGGTATACTCGAATGTCGCCGAGTCCGTGACTAATATGGATGGGAAGACCTCCGGGGTATGAATTAATTGTGACTCAAAGTAGGGCGTCTAATCTCCAGAATGCCGCCCCCATGACGGTCCGTCCATCAATTCCTGTTGGGACTACGGGTCCACAAATGTTCCATCCTATTCATCCCACCCTACGCCCCCTCTTCGCACTCTCGTTCGTCTATTCATCTGCCCGTCTATCCATACACGCCCATCTTCCTTAGGCCCTATGCCCTTATGCCCGTGTGCATGGTTCCAGAATAATTAGTCATTTTGCAAGGAATTGCCGAGGCTGTAGACAGAATAGATTAACAATTTCTGTAGATTTAGCAGTTTTGAGTGACCTAATTTTGGCGAGAATTCATTCTACCCGATTAAGATGCATTGCACACAAATGCGGAGCTGAGCGTACAATGTTTGCTTGTCCAACATTAATAAACGCATTCTACAACGTGTATTTTTGCCTGCCACCCAGTCAAGTATTTATCCCAACGCCTTCTTTCGCCCATGGGGCAGGCCGCCTCCGGCCGTCTGGCTGACTCCACCTGTATACATTTCCCAGCACCCATTTGGCCCACCTCTAAGTCGTTCTCGCACCACCTCCGTCTAAGCATACTCCCAGCTCCCATAAACTACCCAGTTGCCTTGACGGCCCGTTTGATGTTGATGCTGTTGTCATTATTATTGGTGATTGTAATGATAATGCTAACAACAAAAACAACACAAATAATAATAATTATTATTATCAATTAGGCTAGATTTTGACACCACGGTTTCCTGAAGTCAAAAAGCACCAAAGCGGACAGGAAACCGACTTG